TGCTTGATTGTGGGTGGAAATATAACAAGAATGAAGACATTGTCAAAGCCGTGAAGCCGATAGCTCATATGTTACCACATTTACTTCGAGCTGGAGCACCACCATACGAAAAGACAAAACTTAGTGTCGAACAATACAAAATTCGAAGGCCACGAACCAAGATTCCCCAAATGCAAAAAGCAGGTGATTGTGGAATTTATGCTATAAAGTTTGTCGAATGCCATGCATTAGATTTTGAGTTTACTACGTCTTTGTCCGATGTCAACATCAAGATGGTTAGAGAGAAACTTGCAGCTGAGATTTTTGACGAGACAGAGCAACATGGGCGAACAATCTCTAACCCATTGCCATTTGGAACAAATGATCGAGAGTTACTAAATCCCTATTGAATTTGCTTTTAATTAGAACATTCTTTGCTGTTTTGATTTTCACATGAAGCATTTTTTTCATGTTTCAGAATTTTTCAATTTTTAAAGAAACTCAATTTTACTTCTTTTTACCATTTTTAATGATTTGGACTTTACAGAAAAAATTGCTAAGATAAATGGATGATAAATTACTGCTTTGTCCTAATTAGGCAAGATAAATATACATGCTCCACATTATCAAGTTCCAAGCAATGACACGGAGCATTATGAAATGAGGCCTTACACACTCCAATACGTAATGTGTGTTGTGGTCGAAATTGTTTGTAGTTCTTTGTTTCTTGTTTTCCTAACCACTCGATATGGTTGGTTGCATGGCTGGTTAATTAATTCATTTTTAATTACTTGTTGTTTGGTGTGCTACTTTAGTATATATTTTGTAATGTTCTTGTAATTTAGATTATCATAATTAAACTCCATTATATGTTATGAAATAAAATTAATAAAGATTTAAATATAAATAAAGCTCTAAAATGAAGTATACATGTTTTGGACGTAAAAAAACCAAACCAAATCAGCAACATAAAGCTTAAAGTGACAAAGCAGGTGCATATAAGTTATTAGATATTGTTGCAGGTGGTACGGTTATGTCCTGCGATCTTACATTGTGAACACGTGTAATGCTTGCGCACCTTCATGGTTGCTTGCCCTTGAGATAACTTTTTCTTTCGTATCTTTTTCTGTGGTGCTTTTTTTCCCATCGCCTTCTCAAGTGCAGAAAGATACCTTGACTTCTTTGGTCTACCAGCACCACGTCTTTCCTCTGGTGGACGACATCTTTTTTTTGCTATATCTATAGGAGACTCCAGTTCAACATCTTCCGGACTAATAGATTCTGCATATGCGTTACACCAATAGTTTTTCGTGTAATAAGGATGTACTAGAGTCACCTCAGATATATTTCGTCGCTTCTTAGCAGCAGCAAGAGCATGTTCACATGGAATCTTATCGATATCGTAAACACGGCAGGTACAACGCATCTGTTACAAGTGCAAAAAATAAGTTTAAGAAATTAACTCTACCATCATATGAGTATGGGAACTAGAAGTGTACCTGTTGTAGATCAACGACACAAGCAAGTTCACCGCCAGTGACATGGCTACGATGGGCATCAATGTGTTGCACATAAAGAGTGTTGGCAATCTCAGTTCGTTTTTCCAATGTTTTTTCCACTTTAGGGGGGGATTAAAGTTGGTAGTAACATTGCACGTTCCCGACGTCTCACAAACCACTTTGATATCAACTTCCGCAACTCTTCCAAGAAAACAGCTTTTGGGATACTTCCCGAGGCTTTTAAAAAAAACCTTTTTTCCATGAACCCCGCAAAAGGTACCTGGGCATTATTGGCAAAACCTACTTCCCCGGGAAAAATTTGCTTCCGGACCCCCAA